ATAACTCTTTTCTAATAAATACTTTATATGCTCTCTCAACCCTCCGCTTCTCTTCGCATTTTGCTCCGGTGGCCCTCACAAAGCTGCTAACATAAATAAATTTACTACGGTTCAACTATTATTCATACTATTTATCTCCCCTCTGTCTGCGGATAAGTCCTCCTCTAGGGATATAAAAATTTTCCTTTATCTCTTTCCTTATTTAGCTCTGCCTCCAAAAACTTATCCTCTTACCTTTGTCTCTACTCTTGCAATCTCGACATTTTATCCCTAAAATCTTATTTTTCTAAATTCTATGTCAAAATTCTATTTTTACCTTGTATGGCTTGGCTGTCCCATCTTGCAGACAGTTTGGCTGGTCTCACATCCTAAAATTCCTTTCTTATCCACCTGTTTATAAATTTTTACACTTCTAATTATTATAATAAAAGGATTTAATCAGTTTCTAACCATCTAATAAGCATCATTTTAAATTAAAAATAACCTGTTCACACTTCTCACACACATTGCTGAGTTATACACGTATCAATCTCTCTCACACCCTCACTGTTTATAATTTATCAAATTGCACTAACCTAATAAAATCACTTATAATTTTGGAATTTTTTACTATACATTTGCATGTATTGAATATTAAGTCAAACATTTCAGAAGAATAATTACTTTCAACACAGCTGTACAGCTCCTCCCATCAGAGTGTAGGTAAGTTACACATTACCGTATTTTTTGTTAAAGAAGAATAAATAAGCCTATATGAATTTAATATTTTATTAACTTTTACTTCCTCGTATATCTTCTAGGTTATATTCTAAATTATAACATAATCACAAACTTAAAAACATATTTTAACATACCTTCCCAACCCTCTCCTATAAATATTAGAATAGGAAGATACATACAAACATCAATATAACATACAAATAATTCTTTAACTGTCTATCTAATAATTTCTTCTGGTTCATCAATCCATAATACTTCCCTCCCCGTCCCTTTTGTATATTTTCGGCACCTATTTTTAAACTTTCTAACCTGAGACAAAACCAGCGCTTTCATCCAATTTCCAATGGGGTTTTCACCCTTATATCGCTTATAGGAAAAATTAATGTAGGACCTAGGACCAAATTCTATTTTGATACGTTTTCTCCAGACCTCTTATTGTTCGCTTTTATTAAAATTTTCTAAAATCCCCCTTCTCTCGGACGTCTGGGAACTTAAACACACCAAAAGAAACGTCTTTGTGTACTATTCCTTCGCTTTACGACCCACTCGCGTCGTATCTCGAGGTTGTCACTCATTTAGAACTAATGGTTCTTTATAATAGCTTTAAAGTTAAAGTTATTCACAATTATATAAAAATCGTGCTCAAACGGTCTTAATGATATAAAAATCGAATAAAAGGAGTATTTATTTGACATTTTCGATGTTTTTTATACAAAAGATAATCTACTCAAAATGCTAATGTTACTGTGAAAGACCGAAATTAGAGAATGTCGATATTCTCCGGTGAATGTCGACACATACAAAACAGTCGGTAAAAGACCGAATATTTGGTTATATTATTATACATTCGAACAATCGCCAGTGTATGTCGACAAGCACAGATAAGCTTTGGTGGAGGTCAATGTCGACAGAGAGGTGACAGTCTGTCGCCAAATTCTTCTCCGTTTCCTTCTGCTCAAATTGGTGATATCGTACAAATACAAGTTCCTGACGTCGATCGTGGCCGTACAGATGCCGAAAATGTGTTGGCGGTTGTTGTTGTTGGAATAGAAGACTCCGACTTTTATAAATTAGCAAACAAAAATGGTACCCTCAAGCAGCTTTGTACCCATGATCAGTTCGTAATTTGTAAAGAAAAGTTACTTTCCGTAGATGAGATTTCTTCTCAAGAAATATCGTTGAGAGAAACAGTTGCAGCTAATTCGAAAGTGGAGGGCAAGGCTATACACGCTGTCATTGCAAAAAAGAAGTATTCCACGAATAAATGCGGCTGTAAAAGCAAGGGACTCTTGTGCAATTCAGTGTCACAACAGTTTAAATTGTTGCAATAAATAAGATTTTATAACGTAAATCACATAATTTATGTACAAGTTTATTATTGTATTATTTTCTTTAATGATTTAGAATGTACTGTTCGTTTTAGGTTCAACAGTTTATTTATATGCGCTGCTACTTAAGCTTTCTCCTACTTTGTCATATTAAAATGTTGCATTTTCGTCTTAACGTAATAAAAATATTTTTATTCAACATTCACCATCAATGTGCGCTGATTGTCGACATTTGCCGGTGTAAGTGAGAAATATTTAGCAAATATTTCGTACTGTACATACACGAAACGACTGTGTGAATGCTGACATTTACCTGAGAATGTTGACATTCGCCAGATATCGGTCATTCACAGTAACATATACAAATGTAAGTAAATGTCAGTGCCTTTAAATAACCGATCATCTGCGGGAAAAGATAATAAAAATCTTCTCTTGTTTCCTTCCAGATGTTTCTACTGTTGTTTGCTGTTGAGTTTTCCTGTACTATAATCCGTCAGAGGAAGAGTAGAATAATCATACTGATCTTGAAGAGTGTGTATATCATATGAAACACATGGAAGGAGACATGTAAAAGTTGACATGTGAATTTGATCTCTTTTGTTTTTTCTATTTTTAAAATGCTTTTATACTATCTTTATCATAAATGATTTTATTGTTTTACTTTTTTTTTTTACAAATGTCATTACTGTAATTCTTGTGTCAACATGGATATCGTACACAAAGTAAAGAATTTACAGAGAAACAGTAAACTGTAGCATTTATCGTTTAAATTAATCGTATGAACCACTAAACAGCAAATAATTTTTTCAATGTGTTAGTGCAGTGATGGGCAAACTTTTTAAAGATCGGGCCAAAGGAAAAGAAGAAAACTTTAGGCGGGCCAATATAATTGTAACCTAGCGCTGCATCTGAAAATCCAGGTAGCGCTATAAAAACATGTGCAGGCCGTCCGCCATATTTTTTTTTCTCTCTTTCGGCTACGCTACGCACGACGAGTGGATGTTCTGTACCGAAGCATGCTTGTAACCGATCGAGCTTTTACTCAATAAGTGTAAAACAAAATTTTGTACATGATTGTAAATAAACTTTCATGGTGAGATATAAAGCTTCGGTTATTTTATATAATCAACGAACACTCAAGTTAAGTGATGCATCAACCACTACAGCCTGTATTCCTTTTTACTCGTCAGATTAGGAATAATGTCGCGCGGGCCGGATAGAGCATTTCAGGGGCCGCATCTGGCCCGCGGGCCGTAGTTTGCCCATCACTGTGCTAGTGTATCGATTGATTAATTTTAGATACTGGCTCGCAACACTTCTGCAAACGCGGGAATGTTTCTTCCTGGTGGTGTTTTAAAAGAAAGTGACCCCTATTCGGGCGTAATTAACGCGAAGAAAACCCAGAAAACTCACCAGTCAGTCAATCGGATAACGACCGCTGTTAGAGGATCGAATCCGCTTATCCACTGGTGCACTGATGTTAAAGAAGACACATAGGTGGTTTTCCATAGAAAATTTTTTGCAGCAATCTCAATGAAGATTTGACCCCGGAACCTTCGCGGTGACTGTCTGTACTGCTCAGTCGTCTTGCCAGCTTTCAATGTATGAGAAAAACAATGGATGTAGCCTATATAATGCTCGTACAAACATTGTAGTAGCTCAGAATATACATGAAACCTGTACTTTACTAATAAAAGATAATAGGATCTCTAGATCATTTTAAGGGAAAAATGAGAAATTCTAGTCTTATATAAAATAAAATTAAAAAAATTAAAACAGCCTACGATCTAATATATGTTTAGAAATTGTCTTAGATAAAACCAATAAAAGAGAAAATGTAATAAAAAAAAAAAAAAGAAAATATGTATATTTAATGTAAAGCCTTCAGTGAATTTGTAAAAGAATTTGTAACCCGAAAACACCTGCTTTAAACTGAAGACGAACATAAGTGATCGAAATGCATATTTAATAAAATAGAAAAAACAAAACAAAGGTCTCTTATTATTCAAGTATAAACATTTCAAAACGTGTGATAAGTCCTCAGACTAGAAGCAGATATAAAAGCTTGAATGATTGCTGATCCGCTAGATTTCAAGCACGTGTCGAAATAGAAAATTTGCCCACAAACTGATGTTCGGAAACTGATCCATGCGATTTTATACGATTGTGAAACGATTGCCAAAGCGAAAACTTGCGATTGCGATGCGGAACCGCATTCGCACGGCAAAGAATGATTGTAAAACAGACTTAAAAGGGCCTTTTTCCACGGCCCATTAGGTGTTTAGCTAGACCTACATTATAACTGCTGAAAAAACACTTCCCAAAACCGAAAATAGCATGGAGTGATGTCGAGCAAAGAGATGATCATTTACGTTGGACTAAACGATTGATCATTCTTTTATGGGAAATTGGCCCTATTTAGGTGTTACAAACGTGAAGAAAACTCGCCAAACACACGACTAACTGAGTGGAGAATCATGTGGGGAACCAAGAGACCTGCCATCCCAAAAACAAGACTAGTAAATTTTCCAAAAATTTTTTCTTAAAATTTATTTTTTGTATATATTATGTCATGTCTTCTATTACTGATGAATTAACGATCACATAAGGTGAAAATTTTATTGAATTTGCATTAAAAAGTTTTTATTCGTTCAACTCTGCTCCCGAAGATTAAATTTCGAATGCGCTATTGAAGTAACTACTAGTGTTCAGTGTTTCTATCTAATTGGCCACTCAACCTCGCTTTTTCTTGTAATATATTATTTAATATTGGATTAATTTATTTATTGGTCTTTTATTTCTTCTTAACAAAAATATTATATTTTAATTTTTATTGTTTATTTCGTACAATTGACTGAATTTTTATTATTCTTATTTATAAATATACAGAATAATAAAAAAAAAACAATAAAAATATCAAATTTCTTTTTATTTTCCATAAAAATCCATATAATGTTTTCAGATATGTGAATTAATTACAAAAAGGTAAATACATATCGAATAAAAATTAATACATAATGAAATTTCGAATATTGTACATCAACGCAATGAATATTTGATAAATGTTTAAAAATATAAAAGGATATATAAATTAGTTACATAGATTTACACATAGTATCATATTAATATGCAGGTATTAAAGGACAATTAAAAATAATCAAATACATTAATGTGGACTGCTGGATGGCCGAGCGATTAAGTTGTCAGCTTATCACTCTGGGAGACTTCAGAAACGTATCTGACGGGTCGAAAACCTCCAAAAATATTCGGGAAATGGCATGTCCCTCTCCAACCGGTGTGCCTTGTGGAACACACGATGAATTTGATTAAAAGGTCGTCTTAGTACCACACGGCAGAAAGAGAAACAAACGAACAAAAGAAAAAAAGATGTCGTACATTAATGAAATTTAAAACATAATACACGTCTTGAAAAGTCTGTTTAGATATTGCATATTTTAATTATATCATTTTGCTAATAAATTGTCATTGAATGTGATATGTTATGAATGAACATAACAGAATAAAAATTTACAGTGATCGAAAGTCACCGTAAAGCAAGTAAGTATGGCAACATAATTTTGTACAGTCTTGCACTATTATAGTATATTAGAAATAATATTTTGAGCATTTTTTTTCTTTATCTAAATAGTTTTTAATTATTGTCTATAATTACACAATGCTAAAAATACTATCATATATATGTATATGATAAATGCTCAAAATGTTTTACATATGAAAAATATATATGATATTTTTTAATTTAAAAATTAAAAATACGTTGAAGTGATTTATTTTACTTTAATTTTTTCTCATTTTTATTGTTCCAGATAGGAATAATATAAGACTGATAGAACAAGTGACAGAAAAGTAAAGCATATGATAGATATACAAGAAATGCTAATTCTAAAGTATTTTCTGGAGTTTCGCAATCTATTCCTCTAGAAACTGTTTTGTAAGCCCAAACTGTTATAGAGACACCGAAAATCATTTGTATAATTTGTAGAGTGGTTATAATCATTGCAATATATCGAGGAACTTGTATGCGCATTGCTCTAAATGCAAAATAAGTATACATAAACGAATGCACAAAGTAATTCATAGTAATAAACCAATGCCCCAGAGAAACTTCCCGAGCACTATTATACCAACAAAAGATGAGGGTCATGATATGATGATACCAATGAAGGAAAATCAATTTCTGTTTTCTCAATACTACAAAAAGAGTATCTCCCAGTTCTAGTACTTTAGAAGCGATAAAAAGCCAGCCCCAGAATACAGTAGGTTGTATCATTTGAGGATATTTAGCGTGACAAATTGAATAATGAATTCCAAATTCTTGAATTGTGTGAAGAAATCCAGGAAACATTCTAATGGAACCGCATATACTGAATACTGCCAAGCCCAAGTTCCACAATACCAACGGATAACGCAAATTGAAAGGTGGACGATTCTTCATAAAATATTGACAGCCAAATACTACTATGAGGTAAAGAGCCGACCAATAAAATGACTGGTGCCAGTTATGATCTAACCAATCCTTCACGTCATCTCTATTTACTAATTTCTCAAAATCGAATGGCAGAGGCATTGGCGTAGTCGTGTTTGGCATCTTCATCTTCAAAGCCAAAGACGTAAAACTGCCTGTAAGACACAAATTCATAAGTTTATTATAATTTGTATTTTTTGTTTTATAATATTTATTAAATTATTACATTTCTAATTGTAAATTAATTGCGAAAGAAATTTTTATTTAATAATTCAAACTTATATCTTTAGTGTATTATTTATTTTTCAATATATGACAATACAAAACAACTAATCAAGTTACATAAAAGTTATTTTTTTTATAATATTACGCATTTAATAAAATATTTTAAAAATAAAATTAAATTGAAAAAAGTAAAAGGAAAAATATTCTTTATTTTATTTTTCAATTAAAAAGGAAAAAGTAAATGTTAGAAAGTTTACCTTTAGAAAACTTGTTGAATTACTTTTTCCTTGTAAATATGTATTTTACAAGAATCTTAATTTAATATTCCTTGCGTGCAATCTTTTACATTTTTTTTATCTTTATTTTTGAATTAATAATAAAATAATTTATTTAAAATTGCATAGTTTATTCATTAAATCATTCTTTAATAATAGCGATTATTGTTAAAAATCTAACAGAAGGAAGTTAAGTCAATTGATAGTTTTATATCCTTGTTAAATATATATTTTTTTTCAGAATGAATTTGTATATATTTCGTTATATGCAAGTATTAAAACGAATTTATATTAACTCATATGTACCGTAGAAAAGTTGTATTTTTGGTAACATGGGATCATATCTGACAATTCTTTATATGAATATTGTATATGTTTGATATATGAAGTAGATTTTATGTTGTGTGTTATAATAAAACTAGAAATAGGAAGTAATTATTTGTGTAATTCATTTTACATTCAACTTACTATTTAGTATTAAAATAAAGAGAATTTAATACATATTATAACAGTAAAATATTTGCTACTGATTAATCAAGTATATAAGTCCAATATATATGAGTTAGCCAAATAATTTAGGAATTATCTGAATTAAACAATAAAAACCAGAATATTAAAAACTGGAATTACTCAAGAAGAAAAGTAAATATAAAAATTACTATTCTATATTCTATATATTACATTTATAAATCATAAATAAAAAAATACAATACTGTAGTTTAATCTATACTAATATTATAAAGAGGTATTGTTTGTATGTAAGTTTGTTTGCAGCAGGTAATCTCCGAAACTACTCCTCCGATTTCAAAAATTCTTTCACCAATATTTAGAATGGAACTTCAGGGTGGACATAGGCTGTATATTATTTCGTTAAACATTTATATAAATTAAATGATATCATCTATGGTTAAGGCTTTTATATCCAACAGATGGCGCTACGAGTACGACGCCCTAAGTTTGCTTTTCTGCGAGGCATTATGCTTTTCTGTGAAAATGAACTAAAGCAGATCATCTTCTATCTATCTATATAAATAAAAATGTAATGTTCGTTTGTTCCTACCGATTCCTTTGAAATTTTGACACAACGCTGCATTCGAATACGCACGTGTTTTTATATAATATACGTGTCGAAATTCCCCCCACTGAAGGGAGATGGTTAGGATTAAGGCTTACCGTAAAGAACTCTGCTTCTATTTATACTATTTTAGATGCGGTTTTTTGCGTTTTTGATTGCGTTTTAATAGGGTACGTCAACAGAATGTACACTAAGAAGAAATTTTTCGAAAAATCCCCCCCATGGGGAAGTGTTATAAATTTATAATAGATACATTTTGAGCCACAACAACGCGTGGCGGGGTCTGCTAGTTTTTTTTTTTTATAAAGTAATAGATAATTAGTACTGATTTACTTCAATTTTATATTATTTTAAATAGAATATTCTTAAATAATATTTTAAATTATTTAAAAATATTACTTTGATATAAAACAGATTTCTATGTTGTAGAATTAAAAAAAAATTTTAGTAAATCATTCACAACATATTAATTAATATATTTTTAATGGAATTATGCCTTCGTTCGGGAATTATTTTTAACATATTTGCATATTAAGCGGACGAGTAGCCTCAAATACAAGGTCAACTCCGCCCGTTAAGACTATGTGTTCTTGAAGTGTTGACAAGGATAAGATATGAATGTAAATTTTTACTTTCTTCTAATTTGTGAACGCTTTTAACATTTATTACTGTTCTGATTATTGCATTTATTAATAAACAATTTTAGGTTTTAATATATTAATATATTCAATTTCACCTGAGAGACCATCACATAAGAGACCACTTTTCCACGTTCCCTATTTTCTCTCCTGTTTTTCATTGACAGCACTTCTAGAGGATTAGATATTATCTGGTCCTCTAGAAATCCGTTTAAATTAACTCTATACTATAATATTTGTTGAGATTTGGTGAAACCTTATATTGGTTACGTTTCTAATAAAAGGACAGTCAGAAGATTTCTTACTGAATCATAATAAACACTTTTTACTGGACATATGAAAAGCAATTGCCTATTAAAAAGGTATCACGAATATGCCTTAATGACCCTAAAATGTTGGCACGGAGTTTCGTTACATCCTGTATATATAAACAAACAGTTCATATCATATGTAACTTATGTCCTCATCGCGAGAGATAAGAAGAGAAGTGATTTGAGACCGGATTTCACACGATTTAAAATCCTCACTGTATTTATTTCTTTGTATACATGTTTGTATACTATACTGTACGTTCCATTATAGAACATTCAGAAATTTTTCAACAGGGATATTCAGGTTTTTTCACCCAATCTTCTACTGTATTTCTAGGAAGAAGTGAAATACACAGTATTTATTGGTATTTGATACAGTAGAACAGTAAAACTAATGATAAAAAATGGATGCCAACATGTAATTACAGTAAAATTATGTGATAATGAATTTTAAAGTTTCCAAATGCATTATACGTTTTCTAGAACTTCTGAAGTCTGTTTTACAGAGGAATTCGCGCGATTCAAAACGTGATATTTTGGTGGAATCGTCCTTACGATACATGCTTGCTTTTTACTTTCCGCTTCTGTTTCATAATCAATTAGCGGATTCATTAAAAGTATCTTTATTGGTTAAATACATGGTGACTGACTGATTAAAATCGATAGTAAAACTAGGTTTGTTACTGGAAGCCATCTTACCAGAATGCTTCACAATTTAACTGTTCTCCGAATAGTTGGAACGTTTGAGGATTCAATAGATTTCAAGCCTTGCTTGAAATCTATTAAATCCTCAAACATATTCAAAGAATTATTAGATTTCAAGCATGGCTTGAAATCTAAACCTTAAAATCGGGGCTTGGTACGTGCGATTTTACACAATTATGAAATGACTACCAAAGAGGAAAAGTTGCGATTGCAATGCAGAATCGCATCCGTCTATTTTCCGTGTCGCAAAAGATGATTATGAAACAGGCTTGAAACTTCAATACGCAATAAAAATATTAAATTTAAAGCCCATTCGAATGATAATAATCGAGTTAATAATGTCTTAACTGTCAGTAAAGCCTGATTAACTGCTTATCAAAACTGACCTTAAAAAAGCCATTTTTTTAATACGCTTTAATCAAGACACATAGGAATTATTATTATTATTATTATATATTTTTTACATTAAAATGGATAATGGACAAACGTGTTTAACCCGTTTAATGAGAATATAAATTTCTTAGCTAAGTAGATAAAAATTTAAGATATAAACCTGTCTAATCCTGAATGATAAGAACATAGATCAAAGAGATAGAAGTAAAGTTTTCAACCACTTTTTCTTTTTTTAGTTTTGACTACAAGGAAAATATTATTAAATTGTGCGTAATGTTATATACGGTTCAACGAAACGATAGTTGCAGTTCATATTAATCATCATTTTAATATTATATAAGTTATTGTTACAGATTAACGACTCCTTATGTATCTCTTATATTGATATCAATTAATTAACTAATTTAAGAAAATATTTTAAATGTCAAATAATATAGCATAAATTCCAATTCTGATTGAAAAAAGGTTTGTTTAGATTAATATATTTACTATTGTACAGTACAGTACATTATACTACATAAGAGTAAATAATTAATTAAAAACATAATATTTTCGAATCTCTGGTCAAATTATAAAATAATATGGTTATCATTATACAGCGTTTATATAATTATCAGCATAATTTACGACAATTGCAATCAGTACTTCTATTGTTTCTTATTTGTTTTATTTTTTCTTCTATTGTTCTTTAGGCTCAACAATGAACTCTTGAACTACAATATCATTAATTTCTCTCTGATAAGTTTACTGTTATGAGAAGATTGATTAATTCAAGAAATAGGACTACTTAACTTGCAGGCTGAAAACTTAAAATTTTCAAAGTATTAAATTTATGTTATTAAAACAATAATGGCAACAACAACAACAACAACAATAATTGAATTATGAATTAAATTATTTTTTAATCTTAAATAATCTTAACTAGATAATTAATTATTAAATTTTAATTAGTTAAGATTAATTTATATTTGTGGATTATTGTCTTTTTTTATGAAAGAAACAAAAAAAAAAAAAATTCATTTTAATGTTTACATTGAAGAGATTATTAAAATTTTGTACCGTTTATATATGGTAATTTTCCATTAGCTTCGATAAAGGAAAAACACTGACAAAGGATACATTCTACGTGATTGTAATTTAAATTGGTAAAATTACATTAATAAACATTTGTAATCTATACACAGACCTACGTAATTTATTCTATTTCAAGCTTGTAAATTAATAAAAAAAAAAGGTCATTTGAGTCTAAGCTTTTGAAAACAAATAAATAGCATATAATACCGGTATAAAAATAACTAAAACTTTTAATTAATTTTGAAAATTGCGTATAATTAATCTCATAAAATTATTTTTTTTATTAATCGTATAAAATTTTGATGCAATTTTAAAATTGTAAATTTATGGTTAGCGAAAATATAAAATTATGAAATAAAATTTTAATTAGACTTAATAAAATATGTCAATTTTCAAATTAGTTTTTAATTAGTTTTTGAATTATAACTTAAAAAAATAAAATGAAATTAATGTGTATAA